GGGGAGTAGAATCAGGTTCATGCTATCATTGTATCTGTAGGAACAGCATTGACAAAAGCAACAATGGCAATTGATATAACTAACACTGTGGAAGATTAATTTTCTTCAGCCCAGGATTGACTTAATTTTTTAATATTTTTTTTTGTGGAAAGTCTTTTACGGCGCTCGCAACTGCATAAGATCACATGAGCGCGTGGGACACATTTAAAATTTTCAGTTGGTGGGAAATTTTGAATTTTGCCCGGGTGGCGACCGAAGCCTACTCTTATCGATTTTAGACCACAAAGGGATCTTTAACGTGCACAATTTGCACGTGGGACCTCCAAGATTTTTCGCAGTTGTCCATGAAGGCAAGATGTAAATGTTTCCTAATACGGGGTGCCCACTACAGCTGGATCGGGCCGATCGCCCGACTCGATCGCCTGAAACTGAAAACAAACACGTTCGTTTTTTAGGCAATCGAGTCGGGCGATCGGCCGATCCCGTCCGTAGTGGGCACCCTGTATAAGACAAGATCAGGGGTGTGACTGAAAGACAGCAGCAAGAAGGAGCCAAGGAGCAGCAGTATGTTAGAAGCCGAGAGGAGGAGGCAAAGGAGGTGAGGGGGCGGTGGCAGAAAGGGGAGACGAAAGTAGACGACAGAACATTGCTAAAAAATAGAAAATGAGGTGAAAGGAGACATTTTTAGAGAAGAACATTTTTCCGTGGCTACCCGGATTCGAACCCGAGACCTTTGAATGAGAGGCGAACATCTTAACCTCTAGGCTACGAGAGTCCCCGGATTGACGTAAAACGATCTCTTTAAAAAAAAAATAGAGATTGTGATCTTTAAGGAGAGCCACCAGGTGTTTAATTACATAATATAGATCTCCATGTACTTATCTGACGGAAAGGGTTGGGACAATCCTGTCGGACAGCACACAAATTTACTATTATAAGAGAAGAGAAGTTTCGAGTAAATCTGGGTAGACATTATAACCCATCGGAAACCACGTTCTGAAAATAAATATTCGGACAAAGAAACAAGTCTATGAGAAGAAGAAAAAAACCCCACTCAACAGCAGCTATCATTCTAATATTGCCAATCCCAGGGTTTGCGAGGCATCCGGACAAGTCTTAACATCACATGTGCGTCATACTTGTGGCGGGAAACGGGAAAAAAATAACAAACAAACGAAACTAAGCTATGCAATAATCATTGGATCGTATGACCAAGCCCATTTTGGTGTCATGTCTTGACTGTTCCGGGTTGTCGCAGCGGAGTTGGACAAAGGGATGGGTGTAAAGTGCGAACAAGCATAATAATATAATAATATTACGCGTAAACGACGATCCCACAATTATTCATAACGCCTGTGGGGGG